CTCTGGCATCCTCCCAAACTTACTTTCTACTTCCTAGTTCTTCCTTCCTTAGTAACCAAAATCCCTAGTTCTGTCATCTTGCTCCAAGTGTGGCAGGGCCATCCAAATGGACTCAACTTTCCAAAGAATTCCATGCACTAAGTAAGTGACTTCTTTCTTCTCTCAATCAAAATCTCCATTTCTTCAGGGATATTCACCTCAGTCAAGTGGAGGGGAAGCTAATCTAATTAATTCACACTAACATAGAAAAGAGTTCTATCTGCCTAAATGTTTTTGCCACACCAGATGTGTCTAATTAAGAGGGATTTTAGACAGTTTAACAAGATGAAGTTTAAACATTCAGCCTGTGGGAGCCGGTTAAATTTATGAATTATATACTACCAGAGCAGTGGGGCTCAGAGAATAACCATTCGAATGTACTAGCCATTTGTAAGTTGATCATTTGTGAGCTGCAAAAATAAAGAACATAACAGGGACTTGTCCTCAAGCCAAGCAAAAGAAGGAGGGGAAGTCCACACGTTTTATTTCAAGACTAGCCTGATTTTCCCCTCGTCAGTACACCTCTTAGAAACCTCCTCTCTCTCCTTTGGTAAAGAAAGAAATTTGATAGGCTTTTGAGGGTAAATCAAACTTGAATGCAAGTTAGGAAAGGCTCCAGTGAGGACACACTCTGTAAGGTGGCCCAGATGGCAGATGGCTCCTTCACGGATGGTCCCATCTGGAGAATATCAGTACTGATTCAATAGAAATGGAGGTGGATATTAAAGCCAGAGTCCTCATCCTGATACCTCAGAGAGCAGACCCACCTAAGGACTAGAGGACTTGAGGTCAGTTTGTAATGGTAATTCGCTCCATCAAACATCTGAAAATTGTCATCCATTAACCTAACATAATGAAAAGTATTGTAATTTTATTTATTTATTTATTTTTAATTTTTAATTTTTTTTTTTAAGATTTATTTGTGAGAGAGAAAATGAGAGACATAGAGCATGAGAGGGAGGAGGGTCAGAGGGAGAAGCAGACTCCCTGCCGTGCAGGGAGCCCGATGTGGGACTCGATTCCGGGACTTCGGGATCATGACCTGAGCCGAAGGCAGTTGCTTAACCAACTGAGCCACCCAGGCGCCCCAAAAGTATTGTAATTTTAAATCAGACAGCTTAATTCAACGGACAACACTGAGTGACTAACTTTTCTCGAGTATTATTTCATTGTATTTAGAAGCAATAACCTTAAAAATTCTAATCAATTCTAGGGGCGCCTGGGTGGCTCAGTCGTTAAGTGTCTGCCTTCAGCTCAGGTCATGATCCTAGGGTCCTGGGATTGAGCCCCGCATCGGGCTCCCTGCTTGCGGGAAGCCTGCTTCTCCCTCTCCCACTCCCCCTGGTTGTGTTCCCTCTCTCGCTGTGTCTTTCTGTCAAACAAATAAGTAAAATCTTTAAAGAAAATTCTAATCAATTCTAATATTATAATTTCTGCTATCAGAAATGCTTTAGCCAATATTTATTGAAAGCCTAGCATGCCCCCTGAAGAGAGAGCTTTTTTTTTTTTCTTTTTGCACGATGGGGAGACTGCAGATTACAGAGAAATATTTAATGTCTACATAAAATCAATAAAAACATGTTTGTATCTACTTTGATATTGTTAGTCAAGTGGAGAGGAAGCTAATCTGATTAATTCACACTAACATAGAAAAGAGTTCTATTGCCTATATGGTTCAATTAGGATTACTACATCATAATCCAGCAGGCTTCGCCCTCCTAGAATTTAACAAGAACAAGTGAAATAAAATTCAGTGAGACATTATCTTTCCACAAGCCAACTCTTTTCATTTGGCTTTTTGATTCTGTATCATTAGTGAAATGCATCATAAGATAGCAAAAATGGGTGGAAAAATGGATACAGTTGTTTTTAGCATAGATGAACTAATAAACTGTGTTTAAAGGCAATCTACTCTTGAAAAATAATTTAAAAGATGAACTCTTTGCACTACTATAAAAGTGGGGTGGGGGAGGGGAGTGGCGTTTAATAGCAGATTTAGAGGATTTCTATTTAGGTGAAGAAAGAAAGATATAACCAGAGGAATTGAAGGAATTCAGCAGAAGCCTGCATGCCAGAGAAAACCATAGCAGTTGCTCAGAAAGTATTTATTGAAATCCCCTGTTCTACTATTTATGCATGAATGGTAAACTGCAGCAACGTTGTTGCTTGGTTCCCCCAGAAGACAGCCATTTATTATTTCAGGCTAAGATTTAGCAAACCAGTCTTAGACCACCAGTCTTTCTCAATTCTCTATCCACAAAACCAAAAAAATGTATTCTGTTCTTTTTAAAGTTTATACACATGCATGCAAAACCAGAAATCTACGTGTCTAGGCTGCTTTCTCATTGCTTGCATAACTAAAAAATAGGTTTTTATTTAAAAATAGAACTTGGCAAAAGAATAGGCCACTGGATATTTTAATAAAAATAAATGGCCGAGATACTTAACTTAGAGAAGCCTCAACTATATAGGCATGCTATTCCCTCTTTGGTTTTCTATTTTATCACCTTTGAAAAGAACGTGCATTTTCAAAAGACTCATCACACTAGGTAAATTTCAAATTAGTTTTTACTGGGCAGCATAAAGAAATTTATAGGAAATTTAAAAAAATAATAGACCTTGAATTATCCCACCTATTCAAAATTAATTTTCATTGTTTCCAAAAATCTTCCTTGTTTTTTGTCTACACATAACTTGTACTGTCATAACTGCATTCAATGTTTCCACAATTTTAAATTGTTTTTCACTTAACCTTATGTTATCAATATTTCTCATGTTGCTTTGAAGTCCGTATCAGTATCATAAATAAAAATGTTGATTTTTATGCTATTCTAATCTGGTTTTGGATAGGATTACATTTACATTTTTAAAAACTGACATACTGGGCACCTGGGTGGCTCAGTTGGTTAAGCGACTGCCTTCGGCTCAGGTCATGATCCTGGAGTCCCAGAATCGAGTCCCATATCGGGCTCCCTGCTTGGCGGGGAGTCTGCTTCTCCCTCTGATCCTCCCCCTTCTCATGTGCTCTCTCTCAAATAAATAAATAAAATCTTTAAAAACAAAACAAAACAACAAAAAACTGACATACTTCCCATATTTTTACATGTTCCAGAAAAATGCATAAAGCGTGAGAATTAATTATTTCTTCAAAGTTTGGAAAAAAATCCAATGACTCTATCAAATCATGTGTTTTGGGAATGGGGCTTACTAAAAACCTTGACTTTTCCTGAATTAGTGGTATTTACAACTTTTCTCATTATAATTTTATAATTTAATTTGTGTGGATAATACCGATTCATTTCATCTACACATTTGCATATAGTATATTGTCAAACAACTGTGCATAGTACACCATAATTTTAAAAACTATTTTTAATGACTATGTATTGATTGCTATATCTCCTTTCTCACTTCCAACTTTAATCTGTGCCAATTTTTGCTTATTTTTTTAGTATTGCTTTCAAAGAGTCAACTCTTTATTTTGCAGCTTTCCATTTTAACTTTTTTGTTTTATTTTTATTCTTTTTTCAATTATCTGTACGTGAATGACTTGATTTCCTATCCTTTCTTATCACTGTAAATAAAATTCATGAAGCTCTGAATTATCTCCAAGTTCTGCTCTTGTCACATTAGCTAGATGTTAGTATGTAGTTTTAAATTTTTTGTTGTTAGCTAAATAGTCTTTTATTTCATCTTTTACTTCTTCCTAGACCCAATTATTATTTACAAGACTAATTTTGTATCTCAGAGAGTTTGGAGTTGTTTTCATTCTTGAAGTTGGAGATGCAAACAGAAAACGAGGTTAAGTCTTTAAAACTGTATTGAGATTTTCTCTGAATCCTCACAGATAATATATCTTGTACACATTTGTAGACACTTGAAAAGAAGATTTCTAGTTAAATAATCTGAAAAGTATATTAAACAGACCAAATTTAAATTCTTTTATAAAGCCCTACTATTCACATATTAAGCTCCTTACAAGGACTACATGCAGTATTGTTTGTGTAGTATTTAGTAGAGGGCCTAGCATATCATAACTACTGAATAAATGAGTGGTGGCAGTATACGTAATAATTAAGAATCATCATAGTCTGCTAGTAGTTACATTCCTCCTACCCCTTATGCAGGCTAAGCTGCACTACTAATCCAGGAAGAGTAACTAGCTATGTGTTCTTGGTCTGGGTTTTCTTACCTATGATATAACATGGCTGGACTAGATGCTTTCTGAAGTTATTTCCAACTCTAACATTTCTAAATCCCATTTGTTGGCATTTTCAGAACCTGGACTCTATCTACACCAGATGTAGGTCACACATATCCTTTGTTCTGAAGTAACTTGCTCAAACACTCTTTACGAGCAAAACTCTCTGGAAACTGAAGTGAAGAGAGAAATTTTTACCAAACTCACTACTCCATCAGAAAGTTTTGGACAGGCAGAAATCGATTTATTATTTTTGGAATAAAAGTAAAAATTTCAAAGCTATTTATCAGCCCTATTTGTGCTTTCCAGGAATAAAAGTAAAATTTCCAAAGCAATTTAAGCCAGACCTACACTTTCCCTTCACAAGAGACTTGGCACCCATGCTAATTTGTGTTCATTTTCCACCACTATTAGCAACCAAAGAATTTAAGAGAAAAGATGAAATACAAAGTGTTTGCATGGCTGCCTATAATTCAGGGCATTCCTCCTCCAAGAATATGTATCATTGAGATTAAAAATGAGTATTAAGGATGAAAATTCTCATCTTTATTATTAAGGGTGAAAATCCCCAGTAGACCATCACCTACTAACAAGCGTATCTGGTTATCAAAAACAAAAGCTTTCAAATTAAACTATGGGCTATACGTGAATAATCTCATACAAAAGCAATAAAAATTATGCCTTTATACCTGTTGAAATAGACCCCTTGCTGCAGTTTAGTTCTGTTTTAGACAAGGTATCATGAAAAGCACAGACTTACCTGTGCGATAGACAAAGTTGCCTTCAGTTTCTGATGATGAGGGAGACACCAATTCTTCCTCAAATTCATTGGAACTAAAAGATCCTGAATGGTTTCTTTGCCTTGTCTTTCCCATCATGGCAGCATTTGTGGCCATGACATGTCTCAAAGAGTCGTTAAGGTAACGATTCAATAAGCTGCTCTTGTATTTGGGGGGTGATACGTAGTCCTCACTGGCCCGTGACTCTGGCCTGATCACTCCAGCTTTTATGACTGAGCTTTCACTTTTAATCACAGGATGGTGAACTGGATTATTATAGCCCCCTTCATTTATGTGGTTTCTTGGAGGATTTTCTCCATCTAAGGGAGAAAAATATCAGTAGGTAGTACTTAATATACTTTTCCCCAGCCACCAAACTGTTACAGTTAATCATTAAATATATACATAAACACAGAGTATTTAGAGTGTATAAAATTATCTTTGATACTCAAGATTAATTTTTAGGCAAGGGAAGCAGGAATCTAAGTAATCTCTCCCTATGGTACTTTAATTTTAATGAATTTCACAGGAAATGTTATTCCGACACATGATAAATCTATAAACAGGAGGAAACAGCCATAATTCTGTTGGTCATTTACAGTATTGTAAAAGTGAAGTTACCTCATGCAGTAAAAAAGAACCATTATGGCACCATCATGTTTTGTGGGGTCAACCTTAAAAATAGCAATTGGGGTGAACTTATTAACAGAGGTAAAGCAAAAAAAAAATATTAACCAACCTTCAGAACATGAATCATCGCTGCTTACACTAAGCCGCTCAGCATTTCCTTGAACATACTTGTTGTACAATTTTATTCTTAAAGCCCAGCTTAAATCTGGCTGTCGAACAGTATTCTTAAGCCGACGTCTTGCATTAGCAAACCAATTTGACACCTATAAAAGTTTTATTTTTCAATTAACAAAACATAAAATATTACCCATCACATAATTACTTTCCCACAAGGGACCTACGCCTCTCTCAGTACCTCTGATCATTAAATATTCTCAGAATGTAATAGTACTAGACATTCATTCCATTCATTCACTCATTCATTCAACAAACATGCTGAGCACTTACTACAGAGACTGAGCACATACTGTATTCTGGGAATGAAAAAAAAAAAAGAACATCTCTTGCCATTAAATGCTCAGGCTAGCAAGAGAGGTAGGAGAGGGTACAAATAACTTTAACATAGGAAACAATGTGAGGAATGGCTTAGGAGGCATTAAAATAAAATGATGCAGGAGTCCAAAGGAAGAAGGGGTTACTTTCAAGACTTCATGAGGAATTAAGTGAAGTGTTGAAGGAATGTGTCAGGTATAACGGGTAGGGAAGTGTGTTCCCAGTAAAGAGGACATGGGAACAAATATGAGTCAAATTCCAGAGACACGTGGTGAGTGAGGAAGAGGGAAAAGTTAAAGATGACCTTGAGTCATCCCTGTGTAACCAAGAGGATAGTGCCATTTTGAGAAAGAAAGTAGAACTGTTTAAGGGATGTACTTGGTTTGGGGAATGATTAGTTTGAGGAACTAGAAAAGCATACAGGTGAGATGTGCAGCAAGAAAATAAAACTGATATCCGAGACTCAGGGAGAGGAAGAGCAGATGTGGGTCAAACACACAGAGGTGACAGCAGCAGTTTTGAGTAGGTAGAAAGAAAGATGATTGAAGACCAAATGCTCGAAACCTCCAGACATCAGAGGCAAGACTATAAAAGAGGAGCTAGCAGAACAATCAGACATAGAGCAATCAGACAAGCAGAGGGAGAAAAATGCCAATAACACCCAGCTTTAAGTTGCAAGTCAAGTGCTTCCAAAAGCAAATAGGTGAAGGCAAACAAACAAACACTGCAGAACAAAGGGAAGTTACTTCCATTGTTTTTAAAAGATGCTATTGGATTTCCAGAAGTTAAAATGGTGCTTGAGATTTCCTTTAAAATATCAGGCTATCATCAGAAAAAAAAAATGTAAATAACCCAAAGGGCCAATATTTGCTTTTAAAAGAATGAAATGTGGAAAGAGAATTACATCTTTCTGCCAATTTATTCTAGAACATGACTCCATATTACTGTAATGGTTTATGTGTCAAAGCTTGCACTGGAAATTTCTTTTTTCTTTTTTTAGATTTATAATATAAATATACAATTTTTACACATTTCTCAAGACCTAATTATTGAATGGACCTAGGGTGAATCCTACTTTTTAAGAAAACAAAACCACAATTCTTTTCCTCTTTGCCTCCATGGGTTTTTAAAACATGGTAGCTTTCCCCAATTATAAACACACATACACATACACACACATATATGTATACAGAAAATATATCATATATAATATATATATTCAGTATTATTACCTCCTTTGTGTCTTAGGTAATAACTGTCCTTTTAAATTTATGTGCATTGATGTAATAACTCACCATGGTATTCCAGAAGTCTTAGTCTACTAACCTTCTTCCTATCAAGTTCCCCTATAATAACTACGATTTAATCTGGCTTCAAATTATAAGTCTCCTCCAACCTCTAAAGACAGACAACTTCTGGGACTATTCATTCAATAAATACACATTGAGTAGCTCTTGTGCTCTAGCCATGGTGGTCAGTGATAGAAATTTTTAAGTGTTAGGATAAACTTTGTCCCTGCACACAGGGAACGATTGGCATAGAACTATGTATTAACTGTGATACATGGGTGAATATTCACTATGGAAGCACGAAATGCCTGGTCCAGTCCTCAAACCTCTCTCTATTCTCCAAGTCATGGCCGAAATATTCATCCATGCCTTGGATAGTAGTAACTGGGAATTTTAGAACATTCTTTTTCTGAACTTCCCTATCTTCCATTCTATGCACTTGAATGAATCTTCACCACCACCTTCAAATTCAAGTGTTGATGCACCATGATGATTTAATTGCTTAACTTCTTCAAATCGTCATTAATGTCCTATTGTCCTATAACTGTGGTATAATGGAAAGAAACCTGGTTTTCTGTTCTCAATTTGCCAAAAACATGTGTGAATTTAGAGAAGTCACTCAACTTTTCTGAACTTTAAGCCTTTCATCTGTAAAATGCATTAGATGGTACCTAACACTTACCAATTCTAAAAACTAAGATCTGTGAATATAGTCTATGCTCTCCTACAAAAGTGTTAATTTATTCCCTTTATAGCTGGTGCTAACCTACCTTCTGCTCTTGACCACCACCCTCTCGAGCAATCAGACACGTGTGTTTATGTCCCCTGACATGCAGAGGACAAACTGTAACTTCTCCTATGCCTACATCACTTATATTTATTAGAATCCTTCAAAACATTTTTACTACTTTCTTTACTAAATATCATATAATTCAGAGTATCCTTAAATCATAACTAAGCTTAAACTTTAGCACAACCATCACATAATACAGTGTAAAATCCAATTCTTAAGCAACTCTTCATTTTTTTTTTAAATGCAATAGCCTTCTGATTTCCAAAAACATTAACACACTATAATTCTAACATACAAAAAATGGGGACCTTTAAATGTCACGGTGAGATTACAAGTTTTCATACGCAGGGGTCATATCCTTTTTTGTGTTTTATATACTCAGTTCTTACCATAAGATATTAATTACAAATTAGAAAATTTTCCAGAAAGGTTTGCTGGTATCTAACATGGACTGTCTCTAACCTGATTTCCTAAGTATGACTGGCAAGCAATCTGCTAATATATTTACTCTGCCAGTATTTTATCACCAGAAATTTACCATACAATTTAAGGGCTGGATATAGTCCAAGGTGTTTAATAATCTGCTTGCGTTCAGTCATGTAAACAGCAAACAGTTGGTTAACAAATTTGCATAAGTACTGTTCTGCAAATTTTTTTGTCCTGATGAAATAATGCAAACTCCATCTGTTTCACAGAAGGTAAAAATACCAGTTTAGATTTTCTACCTTTAATTTACTATGGATTCTTTCAGGTTGTCATGCAAATCTCATTAAATTCTATTTTACATGAAACAGGCCTCCTTACCAAGGATAGGTTCTGCAACAGCATTTTGATGTCAAACTCAGAGCTTAAGAAACACTGTATTTTACAGTGAAAAGTTGGAGAAGCAAATATCCTAGAATTTGGAAGAGAAAACTAAGTAATTTTCATCCCTACTCTAACTGAGGTGTTTACATTCATCATACTGACAGAGCAATCATTATAGTAAACCCAAAGGGATAAGCTAGCATCTGTCCACCTTTGAACATACAGAATTAACAAACTTACTCTGAGTTACTCAACTGAAATATTGAGAACCTCATTTCTACACCATGTAGTATAACACCTGGAATAAAGACCAATCTGAGATTTTGTTGAATATTTAACAGGTGCTATAATCCTTGCAGTTGATAACTACATACATATCTCAGCAGAAACACTCACCCAGCAAAAATAGAGCTATGTCAACAGAGGGGGCAAAATCTTAGAACACAGCAGTTTTAACCAATTGTACATGGACATTATCATAAGAATGTGAAACTTCTATACGTAAAGGAAGCATCAACATCCAATCATTAAATGTAATCTCAAACTCCACGTGCATTGCACTCTGCATTGTGACCATGAAAGAAATCATCCCAAGGAGACATTTCACTCTTTATAATCCAGAAGAAATATAAATATATTAAAAATATATACACATGAACAATGGGGATCATTGAAACCAGATACAGCACCCATCTGCCCTTCTCTGAAAAACTTCTTCCAAGGCAATTATTCTGCAGTAAGCTCTATATCCTACAATAATACAAAATCCCAATTGCATACCACTTTATGTTATTCCACAATAAAGCTGTTCACATTTTGATAATACAGAGTATATTTTTTATAATATTTAAGCAATGGTCAGCCATAGAAATTAAGCACAATGGAATATTTTGGTTGGCTAAAGTACACACACACACACACACACACATCATTACCTGTTAATTTTATGAAAATGTTTATATCTCATTAGGAAGTAAGATGCCAGATTAACAATAAATAACTCTTTCTGCCTCATTTTTCAGGGACAAATACAATGTAGGTGCAGATTAATATCCTTAGAGCTTCTATTTATCAGAAAAAGTACCTTTTGTGGTCCTAAAAATATTTCCTCCACTAACGTTTCAGTTCCTTCCTTCTAGATTTAGTGGAGATTGCTGACCAGGTTTTATGTCCTTCTTTATCATTTTAAGAGTAACAGAACAAGGCAAAAGTACATTTTATGAAAAGTTTAACAGCTTGACACACAGTCAAAAGGAAAATGTTAAGTGTAAAAGAAATTCTCAAAATACAAGATACTCTCATAGTTAGGGAATAAAAGTTACGTTAACCACTTACTAACATCAGTCATGAGAAACAGAGATAGGAGGTACTGAAATAAACAGGAAATAGGACTTTAGGACCAGAAATAAGGGGAACACTCGTATTTGTCCACAGACATAAAAATATGACATATTTCCAGCTATATTGAAGATAATGAGTTATATTCATGCTGTTCTTTGGAACCATCATATAGCATTAAGGATAATGAGCTGCCCTCTGTGTATTCAATGGAATGGATTTTAAAACTAGAATATCTTCGATTTCAAGACATTCTCTAGTTTTCAGAATGGTGTTTTGGAAAGCTGCATGGTGATTATAATGGTATTCCCCAATTAGAACTTAGTCACTCTGTAAACATGTATGGTGCTGGAATGATATGAGGGTATGAAGATGACAAAGACATGATTGCTCTTCTCAAGAAGCTGACTCTACAAGAGAATTTATTCACTGGGAGAACTTGACTCATTCAATAGGGGTCTAATTTGCAGGGATGAAAAGTTTTATTCAGCTCATAGCTTTATATTTTTTCCTTCAGAAGTGTAAAGTATTTACATAATTTATTTGGTTCCCATACAGTCAGAATTTGCTTGGATGTTTAATGTATGTCTGACTTTCACAAACTCTCACATATATGTCAACATAAGTGCAGCTGACTCTTGAACAACACAGGTTTAAACCTCACGGGACCATTTATACTCGGACTTTTTTCACCAAATACAGTACAATACTGTAAATGTATTTTCTCTTCCTTATAATTTTCTTAATAACATTTTCATTTCTCTAGATTGCTTTATTGTAAGAGTACAATATATAATACGTATAACATACAAAACGTGTTACTTGTTCATGTTACTGGTGAGGCTTCTAGTCAATAATAGACTATTACTAGTTATGTTTTTGGGAAGTAAAAGTTATATGTGGATTTTTGACTTGCAGGGAGGGTTAGCACCTCTAACCCTGTGTTGTTCAAGGGTTAGCTGTAAATAGATATGCATGCATACATATATACACATATATACACATATATATGTATATTCTTACATAGATACCCTATTATGCCTAATTGAAAATAAGCAGAGCCAAATTGGATTACTATGTTTAAAGGTCCCTTGGCTATTCTATACATTTGATTTTTTCCATTTATCACTACAACGTTCCAGAAACCAACTTCATTTATTATAAAAATTTGGAAATCATTAAGCAGGTATCTTATTATTATAAGTAATTATTACTCCAGTTAAAAATTAAATAATTCTGTGGCATTTTTATTTTCTGAGGACTAGTGTAAGAAAAAGAAAACATAATAAGAATATAAGATATAGTTAGAAAATCGTAATAGCATTACCAAGATCTTAACGCAAAAAGAATGGTTATTTGTATTTGAACTATCATTACAGGTAGGAAATAATTTGGTTCTGTATTAAAATTACAACTACTTGTATTGCATCCCAACAAAACTACTGTACACAAAAATTTAAATGTCTCTACTAATGACAATGTTACTTTTCATAATTAAAAAATGTTCTAAATATGTCATATTTTTTGTTTTCTGTATGAAAGAATGACAAGCATTAAGTATGAAACTGTATGATATACAGAATTAGTCTAATGTTTTATTGCTGACATCACTATGAAACATTCAAATAGCTCTATAAACTAGTGTATTTTCAAAATAAATAACATACCTGTTTAAACTGAAATTTGAACGTATGCATTTATTTTCACAAGTCAAGTTTTTCTGACTGGAATCACTGAAAATTCATAGTTTTATGTTAAACAGATATTAAGCCAAGAACACTAAATAAATTTTCCCCTCCAGTGCTGCAGCAAATCACTATTAATACCATTGCCTGTTAACATGAAGCAAAACAGATGTTTTTCTCTACAATTGTATTCTGAATATAAGCAGACAAATGCATATTATAGTTTTAATAAGCTTCAATACAAGTCAACTTTCATGCTTTGTCAAACTTTCCAGCAATTCCTAAAATGTCAACCTTAAATACTCTGGAAAGCAGCTTTTATTGTATCTAGTAGTTAAATATTATCTTTCATTTGGGGCCTCTCTCATTATAAATTTAATGGAATGACCAAAACTTCACAAATGCAGTAATGTAGTGCTACTATAATATATGAAACTTCTCAGCTTATTTAGCTCCTCCTCCTTTCTGAATAAATTTGTTGTTTGCATGTATAAAAGTTCATGTCATCAAATTTATTAAAGAAGTCTGTGGTGTGTTGGAACCAGCATTTGATCTGGGATTACATTATTTCCAGGCCTACCTCTACCCCATACTAATACTTAACTGCCACAGTGCCTTGGTCACATCACCTGTAAAATGCTTATTACTGCTCTACCTCACCGCATTTTTGTGAATACCAAGTAAGACTATGTAAGGAAAAAGCTAGTCAAATATAAAGGAGTTTGTTCACTAGAGAAGAAACAAACTTGCACCCTTTCTCTGCACTTGACAAAATAAACTAACCACTTGAAATTGGCCTCTTCTTAGACCCAGTAGAAAAATACCAGCAGCAAAATTTTGTGGATTCTAGCTAATGCTCAGGATGCCTCTTATTAAAAAATAAAAATAAAAATAAATCAAAACCCACTTCTTGCCCTTCCACCCTACGTCCTAGCTTTGTCAGTAAAGGTAATTTTTAAGTTATCCTGTACTTGATCTTTAATACAGGTACCTAATATTGAAGTGCCTTTCTGCATGGTTCTCAAAGTTTCATCCAGGGTCAGCAGCTCTAGTATCATCCTGAGAACTTGTTAGAAATGCAAAATATTGACCCCACCCCAAACCTACGACTGAACCAGAAACTCCGGTGTGGGGCCCAGCAATGTGACTTTGAACAAGTCCTCCAGGCTATTGTGATGCACACTCAAATTTGAAAATCACTGCAGGGAGTCCCATCTGTACCCATCAATACAGGGCACACGAGTCCAGATTCCCAGACACCTTTTCGTAACTCTCAGTTGACTTTTCACTGCCCTCCCTAACAAAACACCGTGCAGTCCCTCCTGAACCTAGCACGAGCACTGAATTGATAGATAAGATTGAGAGGAAACCCAGAAACTTCCTACAAGCCCTCAGCATCCTCTGAGGCAGGAGCCAGAGCACCAGGACCGGCCTCCACCAGCCCCATCCTTCCCCAGCGGGAGGCGCCAGGTGGAGATCCGCGCACACACGACGCGGGCCGGCTCCTCCGCCGCGGTTACCTGCACCAGCGTCATCTGCGAGCCGAGCGCCAAGAGGATCTTCTCGGTCTTGGTGGGGTACGGGTTGTCACGGTGCTTGTAAAGCCACTGCTTGAGGGGCCGCGCCATGTCTTGCAGAGCCTGCCGCTTGTGCCTCACCTTCCCGCCATTCTGCCTGGCCCTGGACACCGGGAGAGGAGGAGGCGGCTCGGGTGAGCGGCGCCGCCTGGCCGCTGCCCCCAGCATCCCCCCACCGCTGGACACCTTTGCGCCCGCAGCCGCGCGCCCCCGGAGAACGGCCGCCGCGCCCGCGTCCGGTTCTGCAGGGCGTCCGGCTCCGACCGACGCGCCCGCCCCGCGCCCCCAGGCTGAGGTGAGGCAGGGGAGGGGGCAACACGACTTCTGGGCGCGAATACCGTTCCCTGGGCGTCTCTCTTTGAAATGGCCTGGTTGTCGCAGGGGGTCATGTGGCGGTGACCGACACTAAGTTTATCTTGAAAGGCGGGCTAGCCTGGAGCGAGTAGCCAGGAGTTAGAGGTTTAGGTGACGATGGTGAAATGATCTGAGGGAATTTGTTATTCAGGCTATAGATCTGCGCAGCAGGGCTGTCGCCCTCTCCTCGCCCGCCTGCGCCGGCGCCCTGGAGTGCCTCTGGCTTCGTGGGCCGGGTCAGGCTGCTGCCCGCTCTAGGGAGCTCATGCCTGCAGCTCGGGGCTTCCCGTCGCCCGTGGTCAAAGGAAAAGTCGCCCACTGGACGGCGGGAATAAGGCAAGGGATGATGGCCGTCCCGCCGCCCTGGTTCTTTCCTTTGATCCTCTGGAAAAAGGGGAAACTTTCCAAGCAAGTGTTTGTGGAGGAAGGACGCAGAACCTTAAAACAAACAAACAAAAAACCACCACTCGAGGGGCCTTTTCCCGACTGAAGGGAGAGTTTTAAAAGTATGGAAAACTCCGTCCGTGAGGAAAAGCACCTTCAAAGGGGGAAGGGGCCGAAGCAGCCTGGAGTCCGAGGCTAGGCGCTGCGCTCCCCCGCGGCTCCGGGAGGTGTCGCCGCGCGGCCGCCGGCGCGCCCCACCACTCGGGGAGGCTCGCGCGCCTGCGCCGCAGCCTCCAGGACTTTTGCCTCTTTAAACACTTTGATATGCAACTCCATCCGAAAGGACTGGTAGTAACATTTTGAGGAAACCTAATCTCTATTTTCCTAACCAACAACGCCGCAGAACAAGCAGCTGATGCAATCTTTCAGGTGGAGACTGCCAGGACGGCTGCCCCTCCCCCCGCGGGGCGCTCAGGGAGCCGCCGCCACGCCTCTGCAGCCGGAGCTGCTGGCCCACCCGCGAGTTCTCGCTCCCCAGCAGCCCCTCACCCGGCTAGACCGAAACCCGGCCCGGCAGGCCCGCGGCCTCCCCCTCCGGGCTCGCAGCGGGCCCCGCCGAACCGCGCGCACGCGCGTCCGGGGCGCCCTGCGGAGAACCGACCTTGCCAACACCTTGGCCGAGGCGGGGCGAGCTTCGAGGCCGTGGCGAGGCCCTGTCGTGACATAAGAGGGGAAGCCCACGGGGCTGGCCTGACCTGGGAAGCCCCGACTGCTTGGCCCTGCCCTGTTCCTAGGCATCCCGCTCAGTCCTCTCCGCTTCGCTCTCAGCCGCGCGTCTGCACCCATGGTCCGGAGAGGGGCAGGTAGCCCCCTACCCTGAGGTCCAGGTATCAGGGGACTGAGGAGCCGTTCCACGTGTCCTCAGTTTCCAACAAGCCTCTTTTGAGCTATCCTGATGAACCGATTCCCCAATATTTTGAGAAACTAATGCCTTAAAAAGACAATGCACGAGACCTGCCCTCCCGGGAACTCTGCGCCCCTAACCCACTGGCCCCGGCTGCCACTCGCACGCCCGCGCCGCTCACCGCTCCCACCCCTCCGGGCTGCAGGCGGGCAGGGGTCCCGGGTGCGTGAGCGTACCCAGTTCTCCGGTGTCTCAGGCCGAGGTTGTCCTTGAGGGGCGGGCCGTCCGGAATGCCCACCTCAGGGCGGGCGTGGGTACTGTCCAGGACGCCACCATAGGGCCGGCTGCCCCGTTCCCGTTCCGCAGCACCGCGGTCCTCAAAAAGCACGGCGCCGCTGAGCTTGTTGAAGACGATGGTGTTCATGGTGCCGGCTGGCTGGGGCTCGCCGCGCGGCCGCAGCGCCTCGAGGCCTGGCCGCTGGGAGCTCCGCAGGGCTCGGGTTCTAGGAGAAGAAGATGCATCACGTTACTCGCTCAGTGCTCACATCCCTATTCGTCCTGAGCCCCGGGCTTGGCCGAGGCTCTGGGCCGGGGAGCCGAGGGGAGCAGCGGCGCCGCCGCACCTGGACAAGGGACCCCTTGCCTCTCCCGACTTGGCTACACCGCTTCCCCCCTCCCCCCAACTCCCCGCAGCTCCCGGGACAGGTCCCTACCCTCCTCCTTGCCCTGGCGATCGAGTTCCCAAGGAACCTCAACCAGGAATAATTTACCTGCGTAGGCAAAGGAAAGTAATTCCTAAACGAGTTCTTTTCTTGGTTTTAATCTGGAAGAACTGCACTCGGGTTAGCGGAGCGGAATATGCGCGCGCGGGGGGCCGGGGGGGGGGGGGTTGCTCTTCAGTCACAACGGAAGTCTAAAGCATCTCGGAGCTCCCACTCGGGTTTTAAGGAGGGGTTGGAAGGAAGGGAAAATTTTGGGTAATATGAACAACTGCATCTCCATCCAAGTCCCGGTTAATGAGTCCCAGGCCACACCGGGATTCCGGGGATTTTCATGTTTTCTAGATCCTGGATGGTTTGGCTGAAACCAGTGTTCTAATTCCGGTTAAGGTCCCTCGGGGTCGGGGTGAGGGCAGGGAAAGTTAGCTGACTCCGGAGCTAGAAAGTTAAGTGGAGTCAGGGACAAATGCACCACATTGTCTCCCTGGCCCGGAGTCTTCCTCCCATCCCCCAGCCCGCTCCAGGATGCGCAGGGTCCCGGCAGGTCAAAGGCGCCGGAGTCCCAGGCCTCCCAGAGCCCGCTGTCAGTGCTGTCCTCTTCCGCAGCGTGGGTGTGAGCCTCGAGCTCAGAGCCCTTCCTCCCCCGCCCCTTTCTCGGGTCTCGGGGAACCATTTGAGGTTGCATAGGTGTTAGGAGAGGAAGGAAGCATCGCGGTCCGCGCACCACCGAGCCTGCGGCTGCCATGGTTAAAGAAAGCTTTCAGCTCACCTCCCGGGTCGCGGCAGCCGGGAGCCTCTGGCTGTAGAGCGCGGGCCTCAGGTTCAAGTCCGCGCCGCCGCCGAGCAGTCGAGTTACCGCCCCCATCACCCCGCCTCGCGCCTCGGGGTAGCTCCTGTTTCTTCCCAGCCGCCTCGGCACTGCTGCCAGCGCCCCCTCACCCCGCCCCGCCCAGGCGTGGGCTGCCACACCAACACGTACGGATCTCCTGCCTCGCAGATTGCCCACACTTACCAACGCCCCCTGCCCCGCCCTCCAGCCACCGCAGCAGCGGCCACGGGCGACATTTAGGGCCGTGACCATAGCGATTAAGCGACAGCTACCGTCAGTATTCGTGGGGAGGTGAAGTCAGACTTCCGCTGGCTGCCCGGTACACCGTAAGGCTGAGTCCTCCCACGCAGACAGGTACGTGTCTGGAGTGTGCACACAGCCTCGCCAAAAAGTGTCAAAGCAAATTTCCGTGCTCGAAGCCCCTGTTCTAAGGTCAGGACTAGCCTTGGTTTTGTTTTGTTTTGTTTCTTTTTTCTTTTTAAATCAGTGCGCTTAGTGCTTTGCGTTCATGCTGCGTTATTTGTAAAAGACACCCTTTTCCAGTCCCACAGTGTTTCCCCACCCCAGTCCTGTCCTCCCATATTCAACGGCGAGTTTTTCTTAGCGACTCCGCCGAAAGGTTTGCTATACCGGACCCTTCCCGGCTGTCCCAAGCCCACACAGAGATTGCAACCACAGACACCCGTAGTGGTCTGGGTCTGCAGGCAGCAGGCGAGGTGGGAGGGGGCTGCAAAGATCCGAGAGCTGGGTCCTGAACGGAGGGGTTCGGGGGGGTGGGCGTGTGAAGCGCGGTTCCTGGCCCTCACCCGCGGCCCAAGCGCAGTGTCCAGCGCCTCTTCTCTGCTCCTGTACTCCCCCACTTACCCTTACCCAGACTCACTCCAAACTGTCGCTTGGGGAGATCCCCTCCCTGTGGAACTACCCCGCCCAACGCCCGCGAAGAATTTTAAAGGCAAGGAGGAGCGGCCAGGTGGGCTTCCAGGCTCCTCGCAGACCCTCGGGCCAGCCTCGGCCACCACCAGGGCGCGTGCCCACTGGACCTCGGAGGGGGGTGGGGGAAGGGCGGGGAGAACGGAGGCGCCGGGGGGCAGGGGGGAAACCAGCAGCTCGGGAGCCAGAGCGAGCCTCGCGTCCCGTGGCCCGGAGCAGGGACGCCGAGACCCGAGGGCTGTACCTGTGGCGGTGGGGCCGGCGGCCGGCGGCAGGGCGGCTGGCTCTCCCGCGTCGAGGCTAGGCGCACTCCCATCCCCGCCGCATGTTCTCGGCGCGGGCTCCAGCGCGGCTCACCGCAGCCACCGCCGTCGTCTCGGCTTTATTTACCCAGACGGGCGCGCGCGGCCCGGGAACAGGAATACCGAGGCCTTCTCATGTTTCTTGACTGCCCCGCGCAGCCGGCGAACATCCTGCGGGCGCGGTATCCACGTTCCCGGGCCGGCGAGAGGAAGCCTCGGCACCCACCCGGCCGCGGGGACTGCTGTTAACCCTCGCAGATGAGCCGCCGTTGCAAGCGCCGCCGAGGAGCCCCCCCGGCCCGCCCAGCCTTCCCCAGCGGGGCCCGGCTCTCAGATCCGCCGGCCTCGCAGGCGCAGAGCAAAAGGGGCTATTTCCTTCGCATTTAGGGGAGAAATTGGAGAAGCCGCAAGTAGCGCCCGGCTCGGGCTCTGGGAGCTGAGAGGCTGCGGTGCAAATCCCGCGTTTTAGCTGGCGGGAGAGCCGGAAATTTAACCACGCGTGGCTAGGCACCAGAGAGCATTGGGTCGCGCCCTTTATTTTCTTCGAGATTAGCGGGAGTGAAGTTAGAGCTCGGGTTTGTGCCTATAACGCGCGAGCATGTTACAGGAGGTGCTTGCGCCCCGGGAGCTTCTTTTCTGGTGTCACTGGACTTCTGAGGTCCGGGCTGTGTCAAATCCAGGCACACGTTCACCGTCCGAGGCCAGCGCTGGAGAGGCTGCGCTCGCCGCGGGACGTAGGGGTGGAGGGAGGCGAGGCTAGGTGCCCAACCCACTGTGCCCCAGGTAAGGAAGAGAAGGCGAGCCCTGGGCCAGGGAGCTGCATGGAGGAAGGGGGATGGAACTTGGAAGAAGAGCTGGGATACAGTGCAAGGATAGAGAATGCCTCTCAGATTCTCTTATTGATGATAGTCCCCAAATATGAGAGTAGCGAAAGCTGTGATTTAGGTGCAACTGCAAGCTCAGGGCTTCTGGCAGCCTTGAAGATCCTCAAGGCGCCGAGCACGAAGCCGCCCGCGTTCTCGCCGTGGGCCTTGCCGCCGCAGCGACACCTTCATCTTTTATAAGAGCGAAAGTAGATTTTCCCAAACCTGTAAGTTAGGGCATCATTTGTTCTTTTCTCCTTCAAGGTGGCTGGCCAACTCTGCGGCAGGGGTCCATCTAAGCATCTTCCTTTTATGTGGCCTGGAAGTGGTTAAATATTTATATATATTGAAGCTATTATTTCCAAGACTAATCACACCTTTGAATTTTCCATTATATTATCTCCCAAAATATGCGACGGCAAACTGGGCAGTGGCACAGTCTAAAGCAGAAAAGGATGAAGGTTTAAGTTTTTGCGCATTAGACAAATATTATCATTTGATAACATTTCCCAATGTCCTTGTTTTCCTTTATTGTATAATTTGCAGCTGGAGCGTTCGCATTTTGTCGTTGGCGCTGCACTTGACTTGCTGTAGTGTGAATTCAATATACGCATCGGTCTACAGTCCTCGCTGTGGGATTTAAAGTCAGGGATACATCATAAAATTTCAGCCACAGACTTGGAGCCACTAAACTTCACAACAATTGATAATTCAGAGGAAGAAAGAGACGGATTCTGTCCTATGGTCTCTATGACTGATGGTGGTCACCAGACATTATAATAAAATCAGCTGTCAGACGCCCCTCTGACATATATTTTGGTCAGCTGTGCTGGGTAAAGCAACAGGCATGTATGTAGTTGCTTGCAATTTCATAGTACAATACTGACTCATGGAGCAATATGCTGTAATGGAGGCTAGCATAGGACAAATGCTGTTTTAGTCTTTACTGCATTTACACAATTTTAAAATGCATTTAGAGGACTTTGACTTGAGATATATTTACACGTAAGATTTGTTTTCTTAAAATCTGATATAAAATATACAGCGAAAAATCTTTCTGCAAAACATTTTTTATTTGGTATAGGAATAGCATACACCCTAGTTTTTAAGTCACTGAAAAAGTAATGCAGAATTACTTTAGATTATAGTTTAGTAATTAGAGTACATTTTAAAATGAAAAAAAAAAACCAGTGAAGGGTTGATTTTAAAATGAAATAGTAAGGAGAATCCCTCTGTAATATACAAATTGGCATGTATTTTGTGATAGACCAAAATTTTATTTTTGTAAGTTTCATCCTCTCTACAAGAGTAGTTTCTTCATTTTAACCCACAGTAGAGATACAGTTATCATTATCTTAAACTTCACCTTTTCTGAAGATGAATTTTACTGAGCTTCTAATGCTATATTCTAATCTCAGTATATGAAATGCTGTATTATAATCCTCAGAAGTAAACCCTGAAGTTTTAGAAAACATATCAGAAGATTTAAGAGAGTATGTAATTTGTGGGAGATAGCCATATGCAGGGAAAAGAAAAAACAGCTTAGGCCAGAAGTCAGAAAATTTGAGTCCTAATCTTAATTCTGGTTAATTTGATCTTGGTTTAGCCTGAATTTACTAAACTATAAAATGAAGATATTAAGTTTTCCACAAATTTGCCATATGCTATTATTAAGATTTTTTTTTTAAAACGTGAAAGTAACGTGTTGCCATTGCTAAAGCTAGAAAAATGTTAAGTAAGAACATTTGGCAGAAATCTTAATTCATTCTATTAGACCTAGAGTGTAATTATAAATATAAGTAATTTTTACTTTCAAATAAAAAAAAGAAGTCTTTATTTTAAGCATTTTGATATTTTATGAAGGAGCCTGACATTTCAGAACAAATATTGGTTAAAGTTTTTGAAAATAAGGATTGCTTTTAAACTTTCTTTCCTAGTTATTACTTATAGGCAATGAAATAAATTACAAAGCCAAGGAATGACTGTCACTTCCTGTCCAAATGTTATAAAATAGTAAATTTATGAACAAATAGCAGGTTCACCTCACACTTGGCCATTGTGACTTGCAGAGATACATGTTGAAGTGCCTAAGTGGAACAACGGAAGGAGTAGTGAAAATCACAGCTGCAGAAACATTGTGGGCAAACCAGGAGAATGGGGGGGGGGGCTCTCCCAATTTCTCACAAGGCATTTGTGCTTTGTTTGTAATTTAACTTTAATTGCATAAATAATGCAGGCTAAATTCTCTGGGAGAGGGTCTTCTCCCTAAGTTCACTCACAACCAAGGGATAGAGTACAAGTGAAAGTTCCTCTTCAGCCAGCTCCATCCAATCACGTTCCTGGGAGGCAACCACCAAGAGGTGGCCACTGCTGGTTTGATGTGTAGACTTTGGGTCTTTTTTCGCTGCGTTCATATACGTGAATGCAAACAAAACATTATAGTTTTGTTTTATGACCCTTTGAAAGAGATGAGACCATACTTATACCCTTGTATAAATGTACACACTCACAGACACCCAGAATTAAACTAAAACATGCCTTTTCATTCAACTTCATAGAGAACTTTCATATTAGGACATAAATGTGTAATTCCATATTTTTAACTGTTACATAATGCTCCATAATCCATTTAGCCATTCCCCATCCTCATTGTTGCCTTTTCAGTTTTCACTATTATGAACATTAAACACCCTTGTTTAGTATTATTTCTGCACATGTGTAAACATTTTTCCAGGAATAGCTACACCGACATAGAATTGCTGGGTTGGAGACATGATTTAAAAATTTTGATAGATATTTCTAATTTCTCTCCAAACTGTACCCCCCACAAAGGCCCCATTTGCTGACATGCGACACCACATTTCTTATGTTTGGATTTCATAATGTTTGCCAGTCTGATAAGTAAAATAATGTCTTATTGTTTGAGAACCTTTTCATTTGTTTATGAGCCATTTGTATTTCTTAATTG